AGGTGAGATGGAAAACTGTGCGTACCTACGGAAAAATCCTGGCTACGCCCCTGCTGTCGAAAAAAAAAAACTTGTCATATGCACTTTAATAGCAATTTAACTTAGCAGGATAGTCAACACCTCCTGATAGTGATTGTTTACAAAGCGTATATCGGGGTTTCGCTATTTTTATTTCGTTGAAAAGGAGTGTAATTACTTCACTTAAGAGATCTTTCTTTGAATATAAGTCTTTAAGCAAACCACGAACCAAACGTTTGCGGAATGTTGCTGGTTCGGAAACATGTTTCTCGTGTGTGGAATACCCTTAACCTAATTGATTCAAATTAGGTCCACTGAAAACAACAGCTCTGCAAAAATACAATATTGGACCGTGAAAACATGTGGCTACAGGAATTAAGGTCGAGTGTCTTATACGCGAAACAGGAGCAAACAATTATTTAACCCCGATCGTTATTAAGTTTATATTTCAATTTGGTAAATTATTGTTTAGGTGGATAAAGCTCAGTTTAGGACAAAATTAAAAGAATAAAAGATAAGCCCAATAACCGTTTTCCGAATTACCCTTGGCCCCACTTTCAATACGAGTCGTGGTGCTCATCCTTTCATATGATTATAAGTTTTCATTAACATGCAAATTAAACTCATTTTCACAAGAATGGTTGAGCACCAAGCCTCGTTTCGAAAAAGAGGCTAAGGGTAACTCGGAAACTATTCTAACCTCTATTGATTGTCTGATTAATTACAGAAATTACCTTGAAACTGGCATTTTCGTTTACTAATAAAACGAATTGCAGAGAAATGATGTGAAATCTGCAACAGCATTGCGTGTCGTTCTCCTTGTAAGGATATCTGCTGTTCGTTCAAAACTATAGTAAGAGTGCACTGTGACTTCGAAAAACGATAAAGAAAACGGGAAACGGTAATTATATCTCTTCTTGCTTGTTCAAGACGGATTGATAGCCATTCCGCCAATCTCAGTTTCTGCGGACCAAAAGAGATGAAGTTGACCTAATTCTTAACCAGGCAGCTATGTTCTCACCTCCTGTTAACATACATTCCATGACAATTTGTCTCTTGTGTGTTGCAAGGCTTGGTTTGGATGGACGAGAGGCTCTAGTTCGAGGCGTAGAGATCCTTCTGATATATCAAACCATGCTCAATAATGTATCGCCATATGTATTTAATGGCTTTGGACTTCTGTAAGAAGTAGTCATTCACGTCTTAAATTTATCATCTTGGAGGAAAGATTATTTTTTTTAGTTAAATCTAGATGTCAGTCTTTTCCCAAATGTCTGTTGTCTGGTCTGACCAGACAACAGAGATATGTTAAATTTGTCATTATGCATCAGCTACGCTCTATAATATATCGCCATATAATGCACTGATAGCTTTGCACCCGACCATATTTAAGGGGGATAGATCACTGCTTACTTGGCTACCTTCTTGGGCAAGAATACTAAATAACTAACTAGTTAAGTTGATTTTTCAACTTACAGTTCTCTTCAGAGATCCTTGTAACATATCGACGTCCACTTTTCCAACGCAGCCTTCGACACAGCTGACAATTCCAATAACAGTAAATAACTCCAACAATTCTCTGTAGTCCGGCTCTGTGATAACAATAGCTCTGGGCTCTTCACGACAACATTAACCCACTGAAAAAGGCCTTACTTTTTTAACCGATCGCGACTCCTTATATTTGTTTTACAGAATGTTCTAGAACATTCTAGGGATCGGTAATAGAACTATTTTCAGTAACATTACATTACTATTGCATCATAACAAAATATGCTGGCTAAGGGTTCTAGAAAGTTCCTTTAAAAGTTCTCAATGAGTCAGGAAAAAAAGCGTTCCAGAAACTTCTTCAGTTCTATTTTTAGCAATTCCGTAACGCAATGCACTCTCCATAACAGTAGCCTCTGGGGGAGAACTAGTATAAATATGAAGCTGTTGAAGGTTGGCTAGTACAAACATTTTAGAGGAATTCGAAGTTGTGGCTTTCCAGGTTTGATCCATATAAAACTTCTTTTAAATATATGTTCAAACACTGCACTTCTCTGTTGCACATGTGCAGTGATGGCTATGCCCTTTGCAGATCTTTCTCTCTTTTTGTCCCAAAATGAGTTTCATCCATCGAAGTACCACGAAGTACCAACGCAATAATTTAAGACTGCAATCTCCTTTTGTGATACAGCAATTTGAACCCACGGTAAGATGATATTATGTCAAATAAACTGTGGATTGGATATGAAATGCGAAACAATTGAGTTTGCGGGTGAACGTGTACATTTTCAATTAACTAACTGCACCGTCAAATGAGCTTATTTCATCCAACTCTAAAAGTTGATTAACTCGTATTGAGTCATTTCCTCAAAAAATCCTTTGGAGATCAAAGAGAACTATACTTTGAGTTCCAAAAGCTAGATTTTCAGTCGATTATTTTATTTAGCACATAGTTAAATAACGGGTTACTTTTGACGGAGCACTATATTTCTGCTGGCCAAACCAGCCTTCTTCAGGTGCAGTGGGAATTGACCGTCTTAAAACTTATCTACGCTGTATCGGTCTTTCCTCTATATTTATTTTCGTTATTTTGGGCCGTTAGATCACTGCTGATTCAACGTACAAGAGTAGGATTATCGTCCACGGTTGCTTGCTGAACATTCCACAGTTACTTTTGACCTATTTTTTGATTTAGTTAGAAGAAGGTCGGATAGTTTCAATTAATTAGATTGTGTAAATAAATGATCAAGAATTGCTGAAATTGCTGTGAATATATGTATTGATGTTGGTTTTCAAGGTTTGGTACTTTTTAGCGGTCCAAGTGTTTTCGATTCGTGACGTGAGACTCGTCTGAAATTTTGAGCTTCAAAAACGGCATTTTGGCGTTAATTATCGATTTTCAGTTAGTTATCGATTTTCTTGAAAATAAATCGATATTCAGCCAGATGTAGTATGCAGTGCTTTGTTTCACCATGAGGCCTATCTAACTTGGGAATCTACATAAGCCGTTTCGATTATTTGGCTGTTGCCACCAAATGTTTGACCACTGTTAACATTCATTCCTTTTTTTTTTTTTTCCATATTTTTAAAGCAAAGGCTGATGATATATTTTCCAATCGATTCTTAACCTCATCTTAAGAAAGGTCTCAATGGGGTTTAACTTGACCGTCAGCCGTTAAAGGGCCTGAAATGTAATCGTCAGCCATCAAAAATCATAAAATTTTTTCCCCTCGACCGTCAAAATAGCCGGTCAATATTAGACGTCAGATATCTTAAAGGAGTTTCGGATCTCGATTTTTTTTCTCATTTTCGCTACTTACCGCGAACAGTTGAAGATTTCATAAGTCATCAAATTAAGGATCTTTAAACTTGTAAACCAGCATCCAGGTTGCCAAATATACCCACTTGATGGTAATATCTACGATTTTTGCCTAGGCTGACAGTTTGAAAATATTTTGATATTTAATATCGATAGTTTATATTTAAAAAGAACTAACACATTTGGTAAGGTTTTTATCGATGCAATTCTAGTCAGTGACCAGGTTACGCAGCGGCACTACTGCTTATCGATCTTGCCACTGCGGCGGACAACGGTCTACATCAAGTCATGTCATGTCAGTGTGCTGAAAACAGTCGTAAGCCTCTTGTGTTAAGGGAAAGATGATGTTTTCGAGCGATTCATGACAAGAATTTCTGTTGGGGAAAAGCATTGGATGTCCTCGGCAGCACATCATTAATTTCCAAGGGATCAATTACTAGTCAACCAAATTTGGGCTCGGCTCCCATGAGCCCAAGCTCTATCGACTTGTAGAATTAGTAAACCTCAACGCCGTTTCATATTTTAAACATGAAACCTTTAGCTTCTTGTAATGTGCTATGGACATTGGCAGCATGTCGAAGGAATCCCTGAAGCGGATCACTGAGCTAAGTGCACAGTTAAGTGCTCTAAGCACTGTACCTCCTAATACTCAGTGCCTCAGTCTATTATGCATTTCCATTCTGTCCATTTAAAGGAACGTCTACCTTCAAAGACAATTTCCAACGAAGGAAAGTGTTCATGAAAGAGTGGATTGAGTGCTGTAGTGCAGTCCCCCGGATGTTTGCGCGGAACCCAAACCTCCAGCAGTGTGTGTAAAGGATATTTTGCATGACGGCTGTGAAGGACACGATGAATCTCTTGATTCTACGGCTGCTAGATATGTTTGTGCAACAGTAACCTTTGTTAGCAACAGAAGTATACCACAATTCCATACCAGCATTGGACTTGGA